GTATTCCTCTCCTCTCCTCTTGAATCCAGCTCGGCCAAGAAGGTACCTTAATACAACAATACCTGTGATACACCATCTATATCCGAAATGTTTTAACCCGGCAAATTATCGGCCAAGTCTTCCAGGTTCAGTTGATCCGGACAGGAACACTGTTGTTTGTGATACCTTCCAGGTTATGCCTCGGGCACTTGTTAATTAGCTAATTCGGTAATATCGTGGAAAGATCCAGAAGCCAAACATCCCACTACGATATCCGCACCCGCCCCTATTCTACCACTGCCCCTCACCTCACCCCTCATTTTGACCATTTCGACAGTGTGCGCTCCCCCAGCTTGGGTGATCCAGGTCAGCCCTATTAAAAAATCTACGCTAACAACCCATGCGGTCCTCGTTCCTGCCCGCCTATTCCACCTCGATTTCTACAGAGTACGCAGTAGGTTGAATTTCCCCTGCGGTAGTGTCAAGGTTGCCTCGGAAACAGGTCTTCGTCTCTGGGCATTCGAGCACCAAAATCCTGTGCTCGAGTTGCGATTGTCACAGAGGACCCTGCTGCAGTTGCTCTTGATATCGGATGAAACTATTCTGTTGGCCTTCTAGAAGGTCCATGACATATACAAGAGACGTTCCCACGCGCTCGCCCAGTAGGAAAAGTGATGACCAAACGCCCTTGACAAGTTTTGAGACGGTAAAGAGACACAGCACTGTTATTGCGCCCATCCAGAGTGCCATATCTGGAAAAAGAAGTCGTCCCTCCGTAGAGGCAGGGACGAGATGGTGTTTACAAGTGAAGGGAAAGCAACTAGATCGAGACTCTCGCAAGCAACCTGAACCTGAACCTTAGCAAACCCGGACGCCGCAAACCTCGACACCTTTGCCCTCAATATAGGGCCTTCGGTCATAGTACTTGCTCATGAGCTCCTTGACAAACTCCGCATCGTGCGCGTTCCACACGTCGAGTCCCATGCTCTCGAGCGCATCGCTGCCAACTCGTACTGAGCTTCGATCCGACTCGCTGTTAGTCCTCAGAGGAACATCATCGGCATCGTCTTCATCGTCCTCGTCTTCGTACCGATCATCCGAACTCTCCACCACATCAGCCATGACCGTCAGCATTTGCGCTGTCAACCGATGAAAGTACGCAATCACGGCGAGCTCCGTCGTTGCTTCATCGATCACGGACCCAGCGGCCGGCCGGGAAACAAGGGACCCAGTCGAGTCTGCCATGCCACCGGATGCCGATGACCGGGGTCTCGTATTGGGTTTTGACATGCTCGGAGTGTGGGGCGTTAGACCCAGGTCCGCCAGCAGCGCTGCATCGTGGGCCGCCTCCTCTTGTTCCTCGCTCCGTGCTTGTTCACCGGCGCTCGCCCACCACATAAAGCCACTGTAGGCCAAAGCTGTCCAACTTGATGGCTCAACAATCTTGTCCAGAGCTTCGTCGCCTTCGACACTCGAAGCCGGGAAGGCGCCAGTGGTCAGCTTGAAACTCGTTGAAGTTTCCGATCGGGGGCTCTCAGCCGTCATCGGCTTCGGCGTCGTTGGTGACAGCCTAGCCAAACCAGCCTTCAAGGCACGGAACCGCCTCAGGTCGCGCTGTGTTGCCTTGACAGGCGTACCGCGGGGACATTCCACAGTTGGCCAGGCCTTTTCCTTGGCGTTGGGAGCATACGGTGGCGGCATGGTGATGAGCATGTCCCACAGGGTGTCCTTCATGGCGAGGATACTGTCAGTCGTGCAAGCAACCCAACCAGAGCCCGCCTCGTCCGCCAGGTCGTCATTGCTATCGACTTTCCGGCGCTTTGAGGCCTCAAAGTCTTCCATCAAGAAGGGGATGTCGTGGACTCCAATTGTGAAGAGCGGTCTCAGACGTTGAGAGGACGATGTCGGAGCCAATAAGTCGGCCACTGTCTGGGGAATATTTGATAGAACAGAAATATTGTACACTTGACCGGGTGTCAGTGGATAGGCTACAAGATAGATTCCGAGTCAACGTACCAAAGTTGCAAATCTCTCGTACCGGCGCATGGCACGATATTAATATGCGCCTCCTCAGCAGAGCTGCTCTGTGGATGGGAAATATGAGTGGCCCGAATGTGTCCAACAACGTCGTCAGGCTCCATGCTGGGTGGTATGGTGAAAGTCGATGCCCGGTTGGCAGCAGGGAAGCTCCATCTGATGCAGAGCGATTGCGGTTATGATTCGGCTTTTTCGGTTGAGCGGCTTGAGAGCTGAAACTGATTGAAGGGGACTCCATCGGCGGTCGTTCTTGTTCAGCCCCTTCCTTGGCCTTGTTGTTCTCCCAATAGTCATCAAGAAGAGTAGTGTTTTTGCGATCTTGGGCCAATTTTCTGAGATATGGTCAGCAACAATGTTCCTGTCCTGCTCCAACAAGTGAAAACTTACGATGCAATGTCCTTTAATCCTTCAGCATGCCTCCAGGCGCGGCCCAGGCGGCCGTAACTGAGGGGCACCAAGACGCCGACAGCAATCATGCGCGCATGTCGCGCCTCCTCCTCATCGCATGGAGTGTTGATGAAAGCGCTGAGACCCGCATGCTCTCCTTCGTGCACAAAGTATATCAAGTCGTCGGGGACAGTATGCAGGCCGGATGGCAAGCTCTTATACTCGACGAGGCCCTCGAGTTCGATTCCGGTAGCGGATTGTTTCCAAACAATGGTATAGCCAGCTTTCACGTCAAAGTCGATGAGGAAAAGGGCGGATATGGGAGGAAGCTCGGGTTGCGCATTGCCCGCCGGCAAGCGAACTGAGAGAGAGGGTGGATCTCGGCGAGAGGGCATTGTCGGAATGGCAGCAGGCTCAAGGTCACTCTCTATGGCAGCAAGGAGATGCGCCAGTGACCGAGGCGCTGGTCGTTTCGGCACTGGCGGGAAAGCTTGTCGTATATGGTATTTCGGCAAACGACAGGCGACAGGCGGCAATATCAAAGATGGCTCCGCGGTTACGTGCGATATGCTTGACGAATGTCGTGCGATCAAGGTTGCGAACTCCTCGCCGTCGGGCGACAGGTACCGACGCGGAGCTCAGACAGACCCCAGGCGGACGTACCGGGTAGAGATGTTAGTCAGCCTTTCGGCCATGGTCTGTTATCGATAAGAACCCCTGCCACATGGACATGCACGGGTACCCTGGTCTGCCTTAGTATCTCGGACCAACGTCCACTCTACCTAAGGTAGCCATGCCCAAGATTGCCTTAGGTAATCCACGAAGGGCATTCGGCATCGAGAAATTTAGAATGTCTACTGTTGAAGTACCTCGAAAATGAAAGAAAGTCCAGAGAATGGCTGCGATTAGGAAGAGACACTCGACACTTTACGTTTTGCCCAAGCACTAGAGTAAGGCAGGCATGGAGTACGTACAGTAAATGGAGGCAGGGGGCTCCGAGACAGAAGCAGCGGGTTGAATCTGCATTTGAATCTGAGTCGCTGGGGAAGAGCGCTGGTCCTGGCTCTGACCACATGCTTTCTCGAGCAGCGCAAAGTGACCGCATTGAAGGAGGAGGAGGGGAACATTCTCTGCCCCACCTCCACATGCCTTTGGGATGTCAGGGAGACAGTCAACAGACTTACAAGTCTGGACAAGTTCAAGCACCTTGAGCTACCTTCCTTAAGGTAGGTACCTAAGGTAGGTTCCGGTAGACGCCTTTACGCAGTACACTTTACATGTGCCAGGCGCGCCAGTCACCCGTCTGAACTACTATTGTGATGTTCCCCAACTCTTTTAACCGCCGGTTCAGCATTCAAGCGGCCGCCTTACTTAAGCTAAGACATTCAAGGTACTAGCTGCGGTACAGTCTAGGTAGAGTAGGTACGGAGGTATTCATCTCAAAATCTTACGTCTGTCTCTATCCGCTGGTCCGCCGCCTGCCCTTTTCAACCAGCACATGGTGGACGTTGGACGGAACAATGACATGTGCTAGCGGCCTACCGACAGGTCTAGCGTCCATAACGGTCTGGTCCTGGACATGTCCCGTCCCCAACCGCCTACAAGCTTTGCGAGCCTAGCCATGAATACCTTGAGGTTGACGGTGGCTCAAATGGAGATGACCTATGCCTCTTCAGAGTCTTCACCTCATGGCAAAGCAAGGGACCATTTATGGTTTAAGGTAGTCGCTATCTAACAAGGCACAATTTCGGCGATTTGGACCAATCCACCTCAGCTATCGCCGGCTTTCCGAATCCCCAAGGTTCCCAACGACTTGAGCCTCTGGAAGCCAAAAAAGTCATCCCACCAAAAAATATTTGTCTGGGACACGAGCCGACAGGCAACCCCACACCTTTCCTTGTAGAGTATTTTGTGGGAGTAGCCATGCTGATGACCCCAGTCACGACCCATGACCACAGTCACCACACACTTCGGTTGATCAACGGTTGCCTTCCTCTCTCTCTCTCTCCCCCGCCAATCCAGCGAGCTTGAAGTGCGGTGTGCAGCGCAGCACCGTCCAATGCCACCAATATCCGTACAATTTACCGATCCGTCCTTGCCTGTACCATACGGAGACCTTCCCTCCCACCACTTGGCGCTTCCCGTTTCCACTTCTTGCAGTTCTGTGACCTGTCGCATGCTAACTCTTGACTTGGCTTTTGGTTCCTCTTGCTGGTCCGCACCCACCAATTCCGATTTCCCTTACATCGTCATTGCGAGTCGAGTCTCTTTCTCCGTTCAACTTCCTCCCGTCCATCCTTCTCTCTGAGACACACACCCATACGGACACCTTGTGCTCCTATCCTTCCCGCTGGAACATGTGTCTGCGGAAGCTGTAGCCTTGCCATCTCTTTTCTTCTCTCTCCATTTCTCTTCCCAGCGTCAAACTTGCCGCCTGTCATCGCTCCCTCCGAGACAGAAACATCCCATCGCTTTACCGCGCCCTTGCGACGATCCTCCGTTCCACGGCCTCAACCCCGCCTCCAAAAAAGGTCCCTCCTCAACACATCCCGCCGTTTTCGAGGCGCGCCCCCAAAGAAGCTTAACGCACGCCCAGTCCGATTTCCTCAATCTCTCTCTCGAGCTTCCGCGCGCCTGTCTCCTTTCACGCCCATCTGCCGCCGTTCCTAATCAGCCACGCGCACCCACCACCGCCAGCAGCCATGTCGGCTTTCCTGGGCTACATATACTCCTTCTTCAAGGGTTATGCCGCCCTCGTCGTCGCCCTCTACATGCTGTCCTACGTCGTCCCCAAGGCCGCCTTTGGCGCTCGTGTCCTCGCTTCCTACATCTCGCTCGCCGTAGCAGCCGGCTGGGGTGTCTTTGCCTCCATCTTCCTGAAGCTCATCGGCGAGCAGGGCATTGCGCAATGGATGACCGGCCGGTTCTTGTACTACATCATGGCCGTCACCACGGGCGTTACCTTTGAGGTTATCGATCCCAACCACATTCTCGACAACACTCGCCCTGCCGTCTTTGTTGGCAACCACCAGACCGAACTCGACGTCTTGATGCTAGGCACTATGTTCCCCAAGTACTGCAGCGTCACTGCCAAAGCCTCGCTCAAGAAGACGCCCATCCTCGGCTGGTTCATGACCTTGAGCGGCTCCATCTTCATCGATCGCAAGAACACAAAGGATGCCAAAGATGCCATGGCCGGCGCTGCTGAGCAGATTCGCAAGAGGAATCAGAGCGTGTACATGTTCCCCGAGGGCACCCGTAGCTACGCCAAAGACCCTGTACTGCTGCCCTTCAAGAAGGGCGCCTTCCACCTGGCCGTTCAGGCCGGTGTGCCCATTGTGCCCTGCGTTGTCGCCAACTACAGCCACGTCCTTTACCTCAAGGGTCTCATCTTCAACTCTGGAAAGATCCCCGTCAAGGGTAAGTACTCGGCTGCCCATGTGTGCCCCTCCCCAGCGCCGAATACATGCTAACATCAGCTCGCGCAGTCTTGGACCCTATCCCCACTACTGGCCTGACCGCTGCCGACGTCGACGAGCTCACCCGCAAGACCCGAGACCTGATGTTGGAGGAGCTCGTCAGCCTGACCGAAAAGGCCCAGGGCAGGCCCATGAAGGTCACCCACGACGTCCCTTCTGCGAAGACGACCGGAACCGACGCCACGGATACCATCTCGGCCCTGTAAACGCCCGAGGCTTTGAAAAGGTCAAGATCCTCGGTTCCAAAAGACACAATGTTGGAAACCATGCCGGATCGAGGGCGGGCATCTCCAGATTAAACATATACAACTCGTACAAGAGACAAGACGGGTCAGATGGCAACATCTCCATCACAAGAGGCTTCTAAACAGCCAAGTTAACATGGATACGGGTAGGGTAGTTAGATTCAGGTGGGTGGGGGAGCACGTCTTGATACCCTATAGACCGAAAGTACTTGCATTTCTCTCCTTGCTCGATTGGCCTTCCACCGGGCCATCACGGGTGTTTGGGAATCTAGACGTTCGGCATGACATGTAGATGAGATACGGCGTGCAGGCAGCATCTTGTTGAAAAAAATGATATTTTACGTTTAAACTTATGATGATGTCTCGCGGGCGGGCAACCTGAAGGGCTGTAGTTGTAGTCCGCGAGATTATGCCCTCCCCTAAGTGCCTCTAGGTGCCTCTAAGTGATAGTAGAGCTATGATGATGGTCTATCTCACGGTCATCAGCAAATTCAAGGTTGTAAGCGATCTCTATAAGAACCAAAAAGAGGATGTGATTTCCGTTAGGATCAGGATCTACCATCAACGCCCAAGCTATGCTACACTTTCTAACACTTTCTAACACTCCCCCCCTCCCCCCTCGAGGTCTTCCAATAGGGAAGGAGCCTCTCTTTTAAACTAATATGTAAACATCACCAGATTCTCACTCTTGCCCATGCCTTGCTCCCTCTCTATTCGATGCTGTTCCAGTCTAGTTCACCAGAACACCCCCCACTCACCGACCCCCAATCCCCTAATTCATCTTTCCCTCCCCCCTATACTCCTCGCCCTCGCCCTCGCCCTCCTCCTCCTCATACTCTGCATATTCCTCCTCCTCCTCATCATCAATAACAGCCTGCTCATTATCATCCTCATTCTCCAGCAACGTCTCCCCCTCAGCGTCGGTAGTCTCATCCTCGAGATCCGTATTCCCCGAAATAAGCAGACTCCGCAAGTCATCCTCGCTGAGAATCGTCTCGATGCTGCCCCTCCGGATCCAAGGCCTCGTCTCCCTACGCCCTTGCTCAATCAGCCTCTCAATCTTGAGTCTATTCCCGACAAACTTCAGAATGGGATACCCCCGCTGCTGACCCTCGTGAATCATGCGCGCCAACCGCGGCGGGTCCGGGTCCGAAAGGATATGCACGAAATCAGAAGGCACAGTCTTGGGCCAGATGGTGATTGTGCCGCTGAACGTCTGCAAGAACAACTGCGACCAGTCCTGGCCCAGAGGTCGGGGCAGCAGCTCGGCGTGGCGGATGAACTTGAGCCATTTCGTCATGTCGAGCTTGAGGTAGTGCTCCACCGCCGACATGACGTACCCGCCGCGCCAGCCTTTGCCCTTGCGGTGCGTGACGGGGTGGCCCACGGAGCCGCGCGAGGAGAAGAAGAAGAGGTTGATGTGCGGGTTGACCTGGCTGACAATCGTAAAGTTGACGTTGAAGTGCAGGTTGAGGGCTTTGATGGGGATATCGGTCCGCAGACTGCCGTCCTTCCACTTGTGCCCGAACGAATAGGGCACCAGCGTGCCGTCGCGCTGCTTCATCATCAGCACGACAGGATTCAGAATGCCCGGGACGGCGGCGGACGCCAGTACGGCGGACCAGATGACGCAGTCCGGACTGGTGAGGTAGTTGCAGAGGATGGTGGGCGAGTGCGGGTCGGCGGGCACGCACGAGACGTTGAGGATGCGGCCGGTGCGCTCGTACGCCTCCCGGAAGGTCATGGACCCCCTCGTCCACCAGCTGCATTGCTTGGCCCAGTCGACCGAGTCGAAGCGGGCGCCCGTCCTCCACCACCGCGGGATCCAGGTCCAGAACGTCTCGCGGCAGGCGGTGATGCGGTGCGCGAGTGCGGGTACGAGGAGCTGCCTCAGCTCGTCGTCCGTCCGGGTGGCCACGAGGGCCGCGACCAGGGCGCCGCCGCTGGTGCCGGTGATGACGTCCGGGAGCAGGTCCGCTTCGAGGAGGGCCTTGATGACGCCAAAGTGGTAGTAGGCAAAGGACGCGCCGCCCGAGAGGCAGAGGGCCGTCCGTCCGTAGTTTGCGTGCATGCCCTTAAAGATGGAACGCTTCTCCTCCATGGACAGTTGCTTCGTGCTCAGAATGAACTTGATGCTCCTCTCGACTGGACACAGTCAGTCAGTCACCCAGCCAGCATCTTGAAAACACCATGGGCAGATACATACCTTCGTCGATAAAGTTCTGCACCAGGTTCTTGGTGCCATAATACGTCTGGCTATACAGCCTGGGATTCTCAACGCCCACAAAGTTACTCTTCACACACGCCGACAGCAGCGCATGAAGCTCCTCGACAGTAGGCTTCCCCGACGCCTTAGGATCCGCCTGCGCTCCCTCATCATCCGTCTCCCCATTCTCCGCCGCCTCAGCCTTTTGCCTACACTTGCGCATCTGGTCCCACACCCTCTTGACCGTCTTGGAGTCGTAGTACGCGAAGTCGTTCTCCTCCTTCCACCGCTGCCGGTCGAGGTAGCTGTCCAGCTCCTTGGCCGCGACGACCCAGTCGCGGTAGTTGTTCGTCCGGCGCATGCTCCGCCTCAGCCTCTCCCGCGTGCCGCGCCAGGTCACAAAGTGTTCGTACACCCAGATGTACAGCCGCGTGTACAGGTACGTGAGCGCGAGGCCCGCGAGCCAGGCGCCGACGAAGAAGAGCATCGGCCACTTGAGGAGCGCATAGAAAATACCCTCCCGCGTCTCGTCTTTCGTCCTGGTGCCCAGGAGCGCCTCCGCGGCCCCCTTGGCCCGGTTCCTCCTCCGGCGAGACCCCCTCTTTGATATCTTTTGGTTGACGGGCGCCCAGTCGTTCTGCGCCGTGATGAACATGTTGGACTGCGTCGCCGAGCCGTTGTTGTAAACGCCGCCGCCGCCGCCGCCATTGGTATAAGTGTGATTCAACATCCCCGGACCCGGGGCCGTGACGTCGCCGGCAGCCGCCGCCGCCGCCGCCGCGACGGCCGACGGATCCTCCCTGTCATCTTCGTACACAGACCCTCGCTTCGTGACGTCGAGCGAGCTCTGACTCCTGAGGCCGGGGGAGCGGAGAGACGTGGTTTCGTCGGGTGACTGCAAGGGGTCGGGGGCCTGGAGGGCCTGTATGAAGGCGGCGAGGTCGGCGTCGCTGAGGAATTTGGTGTCGAACTCGGGGAGGCCGTCGGTGCTGAAGTTTTCGGGCGGGAAGCCGTAAATGTCTGTGTTGCTGCCGCCGCCGCTCGGCGAGGAGCCAAACGAAACTCTAGGTTGGTGGTGCTCAGCCATGTCTGCGGGCTGCGTCGTCTGACGGGTCCAGGCGCATGATATGGCGACACACCAGGAGGGAGAGGAGTAGTTGTAAGGCAGTCAACGTGTGAAGCTACTCAGGGGAACGATGCGTGGGAGAGACACGATGCTGAATGCTGATGAGCCTGGAGGAAGGGATGAATTTGGTCTCCGAAATGAAGAAGAAGCTCCAGTGGCGGCAGGTGTGTAAGGCGAGGTACCTCGAGGTAGTATGTGAATGCGGCGTAGTACGTGTAGCGTGCTGTGGTTGGGTGAAGCGTTGCGTGAGAATGTAAGCATCGGATAAGGTAGAACGTGGCTAAGGTAATCTGCAGATGGACGGGTGATTTCGGTGCATTTGTTGGGGAGGGAAGTACTTGTAGAGATGCCTCGGGGTGGTGGTCTGGTCAGTCGCTCTCGGCCGGGGGAGACTACCACTTTCTGGCACCCAGTTCCCAGGTTGCTCTCGAGATGCGCAGACCTCCCTAGGGAATGCGCGCCCGTGATGCCACGGGTCGGATGACGTCGGCAGTAAGCTCGAATTGGATTTCGTTGGGGACCTCGGGGCGCCTGGCACCTTTGCTGTGGATGTACGAAGTACGAGGTACCTATCTTGAGGTAAGTCAGGGAGCACTGGGGACTGTTGGCCGCTCACTAATACCACCCAACCCACGTCGGCTACCTACTGAACCGTGAGATGTGGCAGGGGGCAACAACTTCCACTCCCTCAGGCCCCCCTCGGGCCCCCCTCCTGGTCACTTTTCTTCACTTTCTTCAGTGGATGTTGTACCTGAAATAAGGCACTCACCCACTCTGGCGGGATGCGGTGCAAGCAAGGCCACCTTAGTTCCCACCACCACCACCTGTTCGACTAAAACCAACATCTGGTTGTCTGTCTGCCTGCCGATACTACAACCATGATGTAGGTAGACGAAAAGTACAAGCATCGAGTTATTCTCTCCAAAAAAGGTGTTATCATGATGTAAGTCAAGATCGCCTCGGCACCTTGAGACAAAATCCCACAAGGCCGCCCGCCAACGAGCCCCTCAAGTTCCCATCCGGACCGCCCGTCTCACCGTCTCCGCCTCTCCGGAATCCCCTCGGGAAGAATGTCACCTCACCTCGCCGGTGGCCCCTCGACCAAAACGGCATACCTATGTCTTTGTCCCTGCATGGCTGGCAAGGCTGAGAGGGAACGCAGCAGTGGCTTTTCGATGAGAAGCATCTGACATAATATGACATGTGTTGACTTACCTAATGTACGGAGTACTCTACACCAGGGCCCAAAGATACTGAATCATCTAGACGTCAGCGTATGTAATACACAACAAATGGATACCTAGGGATATCAAAAATCTTGGAACTGCGCAATCGGCGCGGCTGCTGGTCTCGGGGAAAACAAACTACTTGTGGCTTGTGAAGATGCTAAAAAGAGCATCGCCACAACTCTCTTCTCCGCCGGCCTGACGTAAGGTATCATGTGTCTACCATCAAGCATCCCGCCGTTTCCCGCCGCCCCTAACGGAACGGAACCTTTACGACGTGGACACGGTGGCCTTGGTCACCGCCACCACATCATCACTACAAACAGCGTCCTAGGAAAATCCCTTGATACGCTCAGCACAACCATTTGATGCCTTTGCAGTGCCATACTCCTCCATGATCCAATCATCTGGATGTCAATGTTGTTGATGCAGCAGTAAATCTACGCAGAGCAGGCTAACGATTTGAAAGACGCAAAATAAACCAGATTCCGAATCCCTGGGCCCCAATGAAGAATTCTAGCCTAACAAGCGTACACAATTGCCTCGTCTCTGGCCTTAAAGCTGGATGCCTCGACCAACAGTACTGACTGACCGAGCAGAGCCATCTGGACCGCCAGACCGAGGACTTTTTCCCTTCCTCCGTGTGTGTGGACCGATGCAAACATGCCCGATAGCAGCAGTGTCAGCCCATTACGCAGCTCTTTCTAAACCGTTTGTTCCCCCTAGGATATCAGATTTCGCAAGACGCCAAAGAAGGGGGGAGCCCTTGTTCTGTTGAACACCCCCCCTCGAAGCACTTGACCGGAGCTTTCGTAGACGTGGCACCCATGATTTCGTTCCCGCGTAGACGTTCCCTATTGCCATTCTTGCCATATCGTCCATGTACTTGCTCCGCTCCCGCCGTAGACACCTCCCGCAAGCTCCTTCCAGAGCTGTCGGTTCGGTGTTTAGACGTACTGCGAGAGCCACCGGATACCGTCACCGTATCCTGTTCTCAAAGTTAGCCAAACTGCTCTGCACCCTTATCTGCCATGTTTCCGGGGAAAGCAAAGGAACGCACCTTGTCTGAGGACAACGGAGCACATGAAGACCTCGATAGGTCGGATTCCCTCCAGAGGCACCTTGCCCTTGCCGGTGGTCTGATACATGCCGAGCTGGTGACGGAGCTCCTCCTCCGAGATGGCGTCGGGGTGGTCAATCTTGTTGCCGAGGATGACAAAGGGCACCTTGGCCAGCTCCTCCATGGACAAGAGGGCGTCGAGCTCGGCCTTGGCCTCGGGGAACCGTTCGTGGTCCTTGGCGTCGACGAGGAAGACGATGCCGTTGACTTCGGGGAAGTAGTCCTTCCACAGGCGGCGGGCCTGCTGGTGACCGCCGAGATCGAAGGTGGTGAAGCGCACGTTGCCGATGGCGAGCTCCTCGGAAGCTAAAGGCCGGTTAGCTTTCTGGACACGTGCGCAGAGCAGAGACCCCCCATATCACTGGGCTCTTTTTGCCGCGGAAGAGATATACTCACTGGGGTGAAGAGTAGGCTGGAGGATAGCGACACGGTCGTTCTGATCACCTTGTTAGCAGTCGTTCATACCATCCATATCGTAGCCCAAGACGATCCCATATCGGCGCATCCGACCTCCAGTAGGCTCGTGGTATCTATCGATACGGGTAAAGCTGGCGGGTGTTGGGGCGATCATACCTTCAGCATGTGCAGGAGGGTGGTCTTTCCGGCATTGTCGAGGCCAAGGAAAAGAAGCTTGGCATGCTTGTTGAGCAAGCCGAGGCTTGAGAGGACGTCGTAGACTAGAGAAGAGAGAGAATACCAGTCAGTCTGTCATGGTCCAACCAGGGATGGATGATGGGCCACACAAGCTACGGCGAAGGCGGCGCGCAGAAGATCAACCCCAGGTGGTGGAGGGGCATCAAGCAGAGGTAGGAGATGAGGGAAAAGGCAAGATACATACACCAGTTAATAATCCACATCTTGACGATGAAGGAGCGAGATTATTGTCTGTATTGTGAGGGTGGTTCGTGGATGACGGTGGAGTCGGTAGGTTGAGGTCGGGGAGGTTTCGATGTTCGGGCTTTTGCTCCCAGGAGACAAGGCGGCGGCGGGCGTGTACGAATGGCGAGGTACCAAGGTCTGGACTGGGCGGGACAGGACTGGCTGAGCTGGGGGCCACCTTACACAGTACTACGTAGGCTTGGTGGGCTACCAGGAGAGATGGGAGCTGAGTCGGAGAGTCGGGAAGACAGCAAGACAGCAAGTGAGTGAGAGGTGGTACGTGCTGGCTGTGCTGGCTGGCGCATTTGCTGTTGCGAATTGCAGTGTGTTGAGGTGGGTGTGCCTTAAATCTCGGGCTGCCACGTATCGGAGATGCTCCACAGATGCACCGAGTGCTGTCAACTGCGGTCTGGGAACCGGGAACCTGCAAAGAACAACGGAAAGACGCAAAATGCAAAAAAAAAAAAAAAAAAAAAAAAAGAGTCTGGGAGTGCGTCAGAGCGAAACGAAACTCTTTGCCATCTCCTTTAGGAAAGGCTTCACTACTTCACTGAAATGAAAGCCCGAACAGCTGTGTCAGGTGAATAAAGTCAGGCCCAAATTGCCTTAAACGCTTGAGTCCTGGGGCCTTTCGTGTGAACAAACACCTAGGTAGTCAGGTTAAATGAGAAAGGAACCTTTGCGAGTGCTTAACATGATGAATTACGCCTTCTGACTGAGCCCACAACGCTTTCCCTGGGTTGCATACTGTTTCACTGCATATCCTCGATAAGTTAAAAGGTCACATGGCAGAGGAACAGAGTATTGGAGGTCTGCGATATCTCGCAGGAATGCAGTTGTTGATCAGGCTACCTAATGCTATGTGTTTGCTCGACAACCATACAAGCCTTCATACACGCTATTCCAGGGGGTATTCGTGCTCCAAGTCCAGATGCCGCTGGGCTCCCAAAATGAGGAAGAAAAGAAAATGAAGCGAAAGTCCATGTAGGCACAGAGCCCTCGTCCATCGAGGACGCTCCGGTATAAAAATGTGATATGTACAATCCAAGAAAGTAAAGGACGTGGAAAATAGTCTCATATATGTCATGATGTCCACCATGCAATGCACCATCCGATGCTAAACGCCGTGCGAAACAATTCTTGTGGTCTCGCTGTAAATGCAAATCAAAAACTCCGCCCAATGTAGTTGTAGGCACCTCTCTAAACAGAGAGGACGTAGTTGCCCTGGTCGATCTTGCCGGCCATGAGCAAGCCCAATTCCCTCATGCGCTCACAGCCGAGGCCGCGCTGAGGCTTGCGCTCGGGGACTTGTCCCTTACGAGCGCGGTTGCAGTACTTTTGGTAAAACTTTTCCTTGCGACGCTGTCGCTTGCGCTCCAAGCCCTTAACGATGTCGATGGCGCCGCGGATATGCAGATCGTTGGCAGGAGCCTTGGAGCGACGCCCCTTGGCCATGTGGGGGAACATGGAAGGAGGACGAGGAAGAGACTTGGTAACGGTGAGACCAGGGCGAGATGCCAAGGTCTTGAAAGTAATAGCGCCGTGTCCATTGCGAGGAGAGGCGGGAGGAGACTTCAGCATCTGAGGAGCCGGGGATCTCAGGCGACGGGGGGAAGGACCGTCAAAGAGGCGGCGAGGGGAGCGGCCACGGTTCTTGGGAGCAGGAGAGGCACGACGCTTGACGGGCGGGGGAGAGTGGAAGCGCTTGGGAGGAGTGTGCTCCGCTTTCTTCTGGCGACGGCTTCGGTCGTTCTTGTGGTGCAGATCCTCCATCTTGCCGTGGAAGAACATCTCGTCATCACTGCTGTGGTGGACGGGGTTGTAGATTTCTTCCTCACCCTCGTCCTCTGGGTCCGAAGCAGGAAAGCTGGGGTCGATGTCCTGGGGAATCAACTGCAGCTTCTCGCGTCTGCGAGCGGCCAAGCAAGACATGTAAGCATCTTCCATGGGACGGTCCTCATCGAGAGTACCGCAGACGAAGTCAGTGCTGTCGGGAAGCTCAGGTGTGCCAGGGCGGATCTTGATGCGCTGAGCCCGGCCACGTCGGGCGCGGAGGCTGCTGTGAGAAGCAATGGACGAATCTGAAAGCTGCTCAGGCAGAGAGGGTCTGCGGGCGATGGGAGTGCTGTCGATGTTCTGAATGGTTGAGCGGCCGGGAGTCCACAAGCGGAGATCATCGTCTTCCTCTTCCTCCTCGGAATCGGCGAATCCGGTTTCCTCGTCCGTCTTGTAGCCATCGGAATTGTCATCCTCATCAGAAGCGTCGTCCTCATCTTCGTCCTCATCATCTTCATCCTCCTCCTCGTCGTCCTCGCAGTCATCTTCATCGTCGTCGGCGTCTTCAAGGTTGTCGAGGTCCTCATCATCGTCAATGGCGGTAGCCAAGTCCTCCTCCTCCTGCTCGGCCTCCTCTTCCGCCTCAGTAGCAAGCTTACGAATGGCGTTCTCCTTCTTCAGAGTGTCGTCAATGGTAATGCGACGTCCCTGGGATGAAAAGGCCTGACGGATCCAGTCGTCCTCGCGGGGAATGTCGCTGGCAAACTCGTGGAATTGAGACGACTCATTGTTCAAGTCGGAGGGGTTGGCGGTGATGTACTTCTTGGTGGTAGGAGACTTGACAGAGACGTCAACCTGGGGAGGAGCGAGGGTGGGTCTGGGAGACCTCGAACGGGTCTTGCGAGCTGTCGCCGGCGCAGGTGCTTCAAGTCTGGCGGCTGCCATCTCCAATCGCTGGGGAGGCGTGTTTTGCGTGGAAGCAGGACGCTGAGGGACGGGGCAGGCGAACTTGATGCAAGATCTTCGCTGAGGCTCCTGGGCAGAAGGTGCCTTGACCATGGGCTGGCTGCGGATAGGCTCAATGGGCTTGCTGGGCTTCGCCGCGCAGGCGAACTGGATGCAACGCTTCTTTGGCGCCTCCTTGGCAGGCTCATCGTGGATGTTCAGAAGACGCATCTCGGGAAGAGGCGGGCTAGGAGTGTTGGCGCGGGACGGGCTGGTCAAGCCAGTATCGCTCGTCAAGTCGGCAGTGGAGGCCAAGCTGATGTTGCTGGCCATGGAGCGACGACGAGCAAAGAAGGACATACCCGGGCGGGCCTCGGGGTCCTCATCTTCGGAAGGGCTGTGGAGCGCCTTGGTCAAGAGAGAGGCGTTGTGGTCGAGGGTAGTGCGTCTGATAGGGTTCCGCTTGAACATACTGGTGATGGGAGAAATGGGGAGTTGCGTTTCCGGTGGCTCATCGACGTCGGCGGACTCGTCTTCTACCATGGAGGGCATATTTGCGCAATGTGTTGACCAGGCCAGGACGTTTGACGTCGCAGCGTCGTGTTGTGTTGTTCGGTGCGTCATGGTGGAGAGGTGTGATGTTGGTCGAGGTTGGGTGCAGGGGGTGATTTCGGGCTCTCGGCTCGAGGTGTGGCGAATGGTTGATGATTCCAGGCCAAGTCGTTCAACGATGCTTCTAGCAGGCGCAACCGGTCGAAGATCGACTTCGTAAGAGCTGTTGGTAGTAGTAACAGCTGTAGTAGTAATGGCGAGATTGCTTGCGAGAAGCTTCTCCGAGTGATGGTGGTAGTTGGTGTTGTTTTGTTGTATGGATAGGTTGATGAGAGGGGGTGCCCTCAAGAGGACGTGCAGCTGTAGATCGTCTCGAAAGACAAGTGCTGCAGATCAAGTCGTGTCCCTAGGGACCGTTGTGCTATAAGAACAGAACTGACATCTCGAGGAAAACAGTTGATGTGTGTAGTAGTAGTAGTTGCCGGGGCAGATGAGGGAGATTATAGGATGATCGGGCGTTGCCTCAATGTGAGGCGCGGTAGTGCGATGATTCAGGGTCCTTGGGGGTACGAGAATAACTAAATCGGCGTGTGCGCAGATCCCAGATGAGAAGGGCGAGCGTGAGTGTGGCCGTGGACGGGTGGGCGTGGGCACAAGGATTGGTGTGTGCTGGGCGAGCAGATGACGTCGGGCCTAGCGTGGCGCAGGGAAATGGCGAAAACAGACGGAAAGGATGGTAGACTCGTAGAGTATCCGTACCGTACGTGTGAGTGATGTGAGGGAAGGGAGAGAGAGAGGAAGGATAACGGGCGAGAGGGCGCTGGGATAGATGGTCGGACACCGAGGAACTTTAACAGGTTCCGGGAGTATTCTTGGCAGTTGGAGGACCAAGGTGGGATGAAATTCAGGATTTTCAGAGGCTGAGGGCTCGAGCGCTCTCGTCTCCTTTGCCGATGTGTGCGTCTGCTCCGTACGGTGGGCAGTACGGTAGAAAGGTACGGGTACCCAGTGTGGATACGTGGTCGAGTATTGAGCTGGGGGAGACCTGACTTGTTGCTGCTGGGACGGATTCTGGGAAGACCTGGGAGGAAAGGCGACCAAATAGGTGGCGACGGGTAGAGGCCGTGACTAGGGGAGGTCAGTTGGCCAGTTTTCTTTGGTCAAGGGCAGGCAAATCCCTTTACCGCCTTGTTGGTGCTGCCGTTGCCGCGGGAGGTGTAGACGGGTGTGGGTGTGGAGCGTGGAATATGGTGCGGGCCCTGAGAGGTGTGTATGTAGGTGGTAGGGTAGGTATTTTGTCCGTGGTGCTGGTGTGTGTGTGCCTGTGTGGTGTGGTGTGGATGCTTCTCGTTTGCTAGAAGACCCGAAAGAAGAGTTGCGGTATTACAGCTCCAGTCAGCTCAGCGCGCGACGAGGAGGTATCGGACAGCGGGAGCTTTTCGTGGAAGCAGGAGGTCGGGAGAAGCGTCTGAGTGAGAGGGGAAGAAGTGGGCGCAAGGTGGCTGATTGATTGATGGACTGATGGATGATTGAGAGACCCTCCTAGAGAAAGGGAGACAGGGCGAAGAGGAGAAGAGGATATCCGTAAGTGGGCGCGCGCAGTACGCAGCATGCAGCTCAGTATGCGGTAAGAGTGGGTGGGTTGTTGACTGGGTGCGTGGGATTATGGATATCCGTCTGGCCAGGAGAGACTCGCGGGCGTTTG